TTTGTTTTCTGCTGGGGATTGCTTACTGCTCCCTCAACTGCAGCGTGGCTGTTGTGTCTTAACGCTTTGCTGCTAACCTGGTTAGCCCGCTGAAAGGGCTTTTCACCCTTTACATAACACTCCAAACCAGGAAAACGCTGGGGCAGTATTACCCAACTGGTTATATCAGTTTTGTGGTTTCTTTTTTTTTTTTTCCTTTGGGCTTTATGAGCTAAGAGGATAAAATCTTTGCCCAAAGATCTGTGCAACGTTTTCTTGGAGTCTGTATGACACTCTTATGGAAGGATTAAAACAAAAGAATTACTTTAATCACTTGTCTTTTTTGATAGTTTGCGCAATGCCTGGCATTTGTGAGGTGTATTGAACCCGTGGGGTTGCCGGCACAGCCCTTCAGCTGGGCACTTACCCTGGGAGCAGCAAGCGTAGCACAGACGTACGTTGCAGAATCCCGGTTAATGAAACGAGGCCAAGCAGGGGCACGTTGGCCCATAAGGCACGGGGCTGATTTTGCAAGACGGAATGGTCGCGAAGACTTGTGCGTCGGGACCGCTTTATGGTTACACCACGGAGCAGGTAGACGGTGTCGTCCAGCTTACGAGGAGTGAAAAGATCAACTCGGAGCAGGTTTCTGAGGGGTTAAAATGTAACGTGTTAGGGGGACAGAATGGAGTAAAAAGGCGGTGCAGGTAAATGTGTATTTAATGATTAACAGTAGGGCTTCAGTCATGTATGTGCTAAGAACGTCTGGAAATGGCTGTCAGGCAGTAAATGTGCTTTTCTCTAGGGGCTGTCAGCTGAGGTTACCTGTTAGTGTTACTTGAAGTCCAGGCAACTGTAATAGGTTAAGAACCAGATTTTTGTTAAACTTATTGGTGGTCATATTTATATACATTCTTGAGTCATATTTCTAGATTTAGATAGAATTTCTGATGTTTATAACATTTGTCGTGTGTGTCTGAAAATGACATTGTTGCTGTAGCCATAAGAAAAATAACCTGGCAAGTTTTCCTTTTGAGTAAAGCAGCAAGAAGTTGAGAAACTAAATCAGAGCTAGTTTTGGAAACGAACTAGATTTGGATTGGTTTGGTTTCAGTAATCCTAGATATAAGGTTCATTAGGAAGGATATATGGAGAAGTGACTTTCTAGGGGAGTTTTGCATCCAACAGTGCTGCTCTTTTTATCTCATTGCTATGTGTTAGATATCACAAAGAGGAATAAACTTTGGGGGTGTATTCATAGACTAGCAGAGTACTACATCCTCACCAGCAGTTTTTCTCACTGCTCAAGAAAGAAGGTTAAAAAGTAAACACTTCAAACACCCCAGTGTTGCGGTGCCATTGACATGTATTCCACAGCTGTGTCGTACAGATGACATTAGCTTCTAATTTATATTCCCTCTCTGGCTTTCCCAGGTTGTTCACCTGTTTTGTTTCTGTGTGCTTTAACTTACGGTGGAAACTCTCCCAGGCTGTCTTGAAGCGTTTCTCTTGTACTTTTAGTCGGGTCCGTGTAATTTGGCAAAGGCAGTCATTTTTCAGTTGCTGGGTTCAGAAATGTGATCTTTTACAGTAGCCACTGGGCTTGCATTTTCCTGGTGTGCAGTTTCTCCCACAAGATTTATATATTTAAAGTATTGGCGTAAAATTCCTTTCTTACTGCCCGTAAGATGTACAGCCAGCGTTTACACACCGCTCACAGACCTTAGCAGTTTCCTGCACTTACTCCGTTCATAGATCTCCCGTGCTCTCTGTTGTCATGAAATTTTAAGGTCCTGATGTGCCATCTGCCTCTCAGAGGTCCAGTTTCGCCGGCTCTTTCAGCCATGCTTATTCTTTACGCAACTCAGTGGGATTTGTGCTGGATCCCTGAACACGTATCTTCGCTCTGTGTAGTCCTCACACCCCATCAGGCTTTTTTTATTTAGGAAGACTACTTGAAAATGGGTTCTTTGTTTCTTAACCATTCATCCGTTGCCATTCTTGATTCTTGGATGTAGTAAATGTCAGTGATTCGGTCATTTTCAGAACAAACTGTTGGGATATCGTAGGGGTCATGATTTAAAGGCATTAAACAGCTAATACAGATGGCTTTTAAGTAACAAAGATGCTGTTATCCTGTAAATATCTAGGGAGCAAGGAACCAAGAACGAAAAAGGAGAAAATCTTGGAATGCTTGCAGGTAGGCCACAGCTAGTTTTCAGTCACTTGTTTTGTTTGGTACTCGGCATGTGTCTGGGGCTGAGCTTGGAGACCTGATCTAAAGGAGAAGCGTTTAGCAAACCTGGACTGGCATCTCTAAATTTTGTTTACTTAAGCCCAAAAGGCACGTTATAGCCCAGTGTACTCGGTCTTCTTTCTGAACGTGAAGATTTCCGTCAGAGTGAAAATGGGGTTGGTTTGACCTGTTGTGTTGGTTGTTTTGTGGGTGGGTTTTTTAGGTTTGGGTTTTTTTTTTTTTCCTAAAAAGTTTTGTCTGGGAGTTTTAAGTAGTTCAAGTGACATTTCAACAATTTTGAGCTTGTTCTACACTCGGAACAAGTTGAATTTGCAGTTGAACTTCTGCTTTAGGGTTCCCAGGCTGCGCTGAGCGGTGACACAACAGACGATTATCCAAGGTAGGTTTAGTCACTGGGCGCTGTTTCACACTTGCGTCCTTGTATACACGCAGTGTGATTTGCAGATGAGCAGACCCCCACAGCACTTGCCACAGTCCTAGTTACATTAAACACTGTTCCACAGAGAAGAGCAAATGTTTGAGGTGGCTTTTCAGAGTAAGATTGATTACTGTTGTGGTTTGATAAGTTTTTGATGCTTTAAGTTGGTTATATCCTAATAGGTCATCAGGCCTAATCAGCCTATGGAGAAATAATTAGGAGAGGATCACAGTACAGACCAAGGAACGACCCTTTTCTAGGAGGGCAGATTCAGTGCCTGTTGTGTTACATCATTTTGATCTTTCTTCTGTCTCAGCCATCTTTATTCCATTCCATTACGGATATTCCTAGGGATTTCTCAATCATTCTTAAAAACGGATTGATTTTTTTTTCCCCCACAGTCACTAAAAGCCAAGGGTTTTTTAAGTAGGTGCTTGTGAAGATACAGGTTTTATCTTTTTGATGAGTCTCCTGATATATGGTGTTAAATATATGGAATGTAATTTGGAAAAAAGGACCTTTTTTTTCCCCATTGGTTTTAGGGATACAGAAATGAATTTACTTGCCCCCTCTCCATGTTTTCCATGCCAAGATATAAGAGCCAGACATTTCTTTTGCCCATTCCATAACATGATGCTAGTGGGTTTTACAGTGTGTTGAACCCCTGACTTTTAGGTAGGTTTTCTTGATACCGATATTAATTCCCAACAAATATATGTAGATCCAAGTCGGTAAGTTTTCAAGCATTAAACTACTGAGCAAGATAGGCTGAAGATTCTGGTAGTAAGGATGTGTGAAAAATCCAAGCGTCTTCAGCATATAGTTTGTAGGCTGGCTGCGTTTCCATCTGCCTTCAACTAACATGAATTTTAATTTTGTATGATGAACTGCGTTGCTGCTGAGTGTAAGTGAAGTCGTGGTGTGAAACGCTGAGAGTCAGCAGTGCTGAAAGCAACGTATGTTAGGTACATCTGTGAATACAAAGCTGCCCTTCTGGGACACTGTGCAAAATGATGTAACTGAGTGAAAAAGCTCTTTGAAAATAGATTTCACTTGCTGTAATTGAGTGTCTGGGCTGCAATACCTCTGTGAGGCTGGAATATGATTCTTTCTTGACTGTGCAGTGGGTTTGTAGTATATAAAAAAAGCTGTTAACAGCTAGAGATACTGAGGTTTTGTTTTGCTGACCTGCACCTCTGCTTCCGCAGTGCTACAAAGAGGGAACACAGAGGAAAGCCTTTAATGCTTGTGGGGTAAGTTGGTAAAGAAATTAGCTTCTGAAAAACTCAAGTTGCCCTTTTAAAATGCTTAACTGTTTGTACACTGCCCAAAAGTTCAGATAATCACCTGTTTCTTTCTCACAACCTTTTCTAAGTATTCATACACCTGCAGCAGCATGATGTCAGAGTTTCATGAAAAGCACAGTGGAATATTTTGAACATTTTTGGTTTAGTGAATAATTTCTGTAATTGCTGAAACTCTCTTAGTGCTTGGTTTACAAAACTTGTGCTGGTAAAAGTGTTTGTTTATGGAAATGTAAATGCCTTGTGCTGAGTCTCAAAGTTTTAGGTACTGTGGAATTTGCATATCAAGGAGTTAGACTGTAGAGATTGTTGCTACTGAAATAAAATAAATGGTGTTCTTTGATAAATATGATGTTAATGACGGGCAAAAGCATGTAATTAAAATTAAAGCACATTTTTAGTACTTCTGCGTTACTACTATATTAGAAATGTTTGAGTTTGAAAGTACTAGAAATGTTTGATAGTACTATCAACACACTGCTGTGATAGCAGCAATATACTGCTGATGAGACAAATCAAGTACTAAAGCCACCTTTGCTTGCAGTAATTATCATCACTAATATTCCAAACTAATGAACATTGAACTTAAAACTATGCATTAAGACTGTCTGTCCAAACTGTGACAGGCTGCACTATTATCTCCTGTTTCAGACTGCACTCACAGTTCTGACTTGCACTGAATTTTTGGGAGAGCAGGCATGACTAGGTGAGCTCATTATTCTGATAGCAAATGGCATTTATCAGAAAACACGTTGGTTCGGTTTTGACTGTGGATCTCAGTTGCTTGTCAGTAACTTTAAAATACAGGGCTTTAAAGTAGCTTAATTTCTAAAAAAAGATCCTCTTGGCTATGTTAGACTAAAGCCATCAACAACAGGATTCAAGTGCTCCTTAGGTAAATCACTGCCAGTTTGAAACAGGACAAGAATACAATGTTATAATTCCAATGACTTGTTTGGTTTAGTTTTTTTTTTCCCCTTTCTCACTGCTAGGATTCCAGCAGGAAAATTTCCTTGACCTTGTGTGTGGGTAGCTCTTGAGGATGGCAAGCAAAGGACCCACGACTCCTACATCAACAAAGAACTCCAGTACTGGAGGGACCAGTGGCAGCAGTAGCAGTAATGGTGCTGGGGACAGTGCTAATCAGGACAACACTTTTGAATGTAACATCTGTTTGGACACTGCCAAGGATGCAGTTATCAGCTTGTGTGGACATCTCTTCTGGTAAGTGCTCGAGCCCCGCCCGATAAACCACAACACTGTGTATCTCTGATCACACGAAGCCTAGGATTTTTATAATTCTGGATGTCAAATAAAATGTCGTGTATAACACGAGTAAGAACCATGGGTTTGGTTTAGGAGCAGTTTGGTGTTGCTCCTCAACTGTTTTATTTTGCTCATGTTCCAGGGAGTTGGTTTGTTGCGTCTTAAACTTCCTGTACTTCTGGGTTATTTTGTAAAAGCAAACAAACGAGTAGCCCCACCGGTGTTCGTTGATACTACTTGGTTATGTGTGTTATTTTATTTGTGCTGCCTGGTCTAGCATAGGTACCTAAATTCCTTTCTAACTTGTGCATACCTAAACCTGCATCTGAAACTGGGTTCTGGAGGCCAAATTGTAGTTTTCATACTTCCTACAAGCTTGCTCTTTTTAATTTAAAACCGTAAAATAAATTAATGAGATAACAAGCTTTTCCATGGGGGCTGTTTCTCTTTTCCCATGGTATTGTGGTTGTAATACCGACCTTTCGGTTCTTTGATCTGACTTGGGCAAGTATCACACAAACATAATAACCATGCAGCATTTCTTATTTGGGTAACTTGATCTAGAATATATAATTTCTTTAATGTTAAGATGTTATTAAGGATTGACATGGTTAAATGTTTTTTGTTTGCTTATTTTACATAGTAGGGTGAATTATGCTCTTTAATAAAAAGAAGCCTGAAAGAGCATTTCTTTCTGTGTTAAGTGTATGTAACATCTGAAAATCCAGGTTTTTATTCTAGGAGGAGATGGATAATCACTTGCTGATGGCATGTTAAGATAAAATTAGATTGAATTATTGCACAAAAGGATTTGGAAGAATGGAACCTTAAAAAATAGCGCGTATCTTGTCTCAATAAGACCGCTTAGAAAGCAGATGGTTGCTTAGCAGTTTTATCTTGTACCTTGCTTGTTTGTCTCTGACCTTTTTTTAAGTTGCCATATTAATTTAATCTTGAGTAGTTCTATATAAAGAGAATTTCTCTGCCCTGATCAACAGGGTATGATCTCAATAGCTGACCCTGCTCTGAGCATCAGGTTGGACTAGGAGAGGTACTCTCCAGCTTGAATTATCCATGATTCTGTGAATGTGGATGATGATTTAGCTAAATGTCCCTTGTGTGACTCCTTTTAAGGTCCTGAAGTCTCATTACTGACATCTTTCTCACTTGCATCTTAGCTCAGGGATATCTTTTCACTAAGATTACTTAGGCCTCTCTATGGGCCTTTGGTATTGATGAGGACCCAGGAATCAAAGGTGATATGCAGAGAATCATGTTAGCAACTTAGATTGTATAATCTGAAAAGACCAGTGGAGATCGGTCTTGGGCTGTGCTTAAAAAATTATTTTAATGGGAGGTTATGGAACTGGCCCAGCTGGATTCCAGGATTCTGTTGCCTCCAAGCTGTGCTATCCGTGGTACACTTTATATGTTTGTCGGATCGAGTTGTCAGTAACTAATTCTCTTTTCTTCTCTTTTTCTGCTCTGTAAACAAATTGTCCTGGGAATGCTCACAGTTGGCCTTGTTTACACCAGGTAAGACAGGTTTCCTTTTACTTGGTCTTTCATCAGCTGCTGTTACTCAATAAAGTGGTTCTCTTGGTTCTCTGGAGTGTCCCCCTCTTTTCAGATGTGCTGCTTTCTCTCCAGGGCAGCCGCAACCTGCTAATGCAATGTCATGCGCAACACCTTGCAATCTGCTCTTTCAGCAAAAAGACAATTTATTCCACTTGCCTCCCACTTCTGAGTTTCTTAAACACTGAGTATTCCCAGTTTTGGTAGGAGAATTACTGTAGGCAGTTCACAGGGGTTTCGTTTGCAGGTTTAAGCGCTGAGTGTACTTCTCTTTGCATAGGTAGTGTTGTATTGCGGTGCCATTATAGAACAGATGAAAGGAGGGCAGGACTGCTGGTGCTGTTTATTTCTGCTTATTTTACTCCAGTGCAGTTCTGAATGTCTACAGGTCAGCAAGTGGATCATACCAGAACAATAGCCAAAATGCCAACTCCACTTTGGAGAGTACTTAGCACTTAGTAAAATGTTTTGCTCCATGGCTTTCTGAGAAACTGCTGAAGTCTCTCTGCTTGGCTGCAGATGAGGTTTGCATATTGTTGTCTTCATCGTCTTTTACTAATTTTCTTACAATTTCTTTTCTTTTAGTGGCTAGAGACCAGGCCAAACAGACAAGTGTGTCCTGTATGCAAAGCAGGAATCAGTCGAGATAAAGTTATTCCTCTGTATGGAAGAGGTAGCACTGGGCAGCAAGACCCCAGGTAAGAAACCTAAATAAACTGCTTTTGTGTGAAAACTGAAGATGACACTTAAGACCTTAAACTAAAGATGAAACTATCAAAATGCTGGATTCACAATTTGAAATACTTTGCCAGAAGACAGATAGAACTGATATTTCTGCCAAATATTTCTGGCTTTTTTAGGGCCTGGGTTTGTATACCTTATTTTTTGTTCAACTGGCAATTTATTTTAATTTTAATTGGGTCTTAATTATCATATACAAGTGGCAGGTTGCAATGAGTGTTATGACTGGAGAAGCTTGCATGCAGTGTTTACTTCCTCAGTTTCTAGCCTTTGCAATGGGACATTGTTATTCAGAAGTGCAGGACCTGAATTCAGGGATGTGGTGCTGAAGGTTCGTAAGCTGGGTGGTCTGCTCGCTCATGCGCTGCCTCCAGCTGTGCTGCAGCATGGCCCCGTGACAGCGTGATCCGTTTTATTAGCCAGGCTATTACTGCACATACCATTGTCACGTATCCTTGCGCTTGAGCTAATTTCACAACTTCCTGCAGAGAGAAAACTCCGCCACGACCCCAGGGGCAGAGACCTGAACCAGAGAACAGAGGGGTAAGTGAAAAAACAGGCTCGAGCAGATAAGATGTTATTGATAGTGGTATTTATTCATCCTGGAGGACATAATATGTGCCTGAGATCCTGTGTGAGGACCTTGTAGCTTACATGTCTTGCTAATCCCCATAGGTTGGTCATGAATCGATAGCCGTGGTGTGGCAGAAAACTCCCTTCCTGCAGTACTCTCTAGCATCCCAAAGAATGGGTTAGCCTGAATCGTGCTTCATGAAAAGAGCCCTGTGAGGCATCACTGGGAATGCTCTTCATAGTTGATTGTTCTCCCTACATAAATACAAGGAACACTTTGCTTTGAATTTCTTTGTGGACATATATTTCCGTCAAACTCTGCCTGTCACGGAAATACATAATCCACGTAGGAGCTTATTTTTTGGCACTGACACCTGCTTCTAGCATTTCTACGGGATGTTACTGTTCCATGGCATTACAAGCAAAAGAACGTAGGTATCTGTTGGATGCTTGTTAATTTGAAGAGGGATCTGTGGTTTTGTTGAGGAGATTACATAGAGTGAGTGTAAACAGCAGCTGGCATAGGTTGAACAGACGTGGGAGTAACCAGGAGGACAGACCACAGTGTACTTTAGCGCGGTAGTAGTGAGCATGACCTGATGAAACAATCACATATTTATGTGTAACTCAGGCTAGGGTCCTCAGAGAGCACTTGTATACCTCATGCCTCGAGCAAACAACTCTGCTGGGTGTGATTAAGGAACATTTCTGTATTGAATGTACTGGGAGCTCAGCTGTCCTCCTTCACTAGGGAGTTGCCGCCTTATTAAACCGGCTGCTGTGCCTTGTTTGAACCCTTTAGCTGGTGCTGCTTAAGTCAGAGGAATCTGGGATGAAGACGGCAGCAGTGACGCTGCCATCCGGTTTCCTGCAGGCGCAGGACCTGCCATGCAGAGTGCTTTGCTATCCCTGATAGTTAATGGCAAAATGCTTGAAAAGTCATAGTCAAAAGGACTGACTCCTCAATTTAAGGATCAACCCAGAAATTATGTATTTTATTGTATAAGTGAAATCATCTTTGCCCTCCCACTGTTTGGAGGCGATAGCACGGAGAGCTTTTCAGAATTGGTATCACTGTTTTAATTCTGAGACAAGAGGACAGTTTGCTGGATTACGGAACGTGGAGACTGTGAGCTCTCCATGGTTAAAAACATGATGCAACTACTTAGGTTCGTACACAGTCGGTTTTCAAACAGTACACTGCTTTTATACAGCAGGATTCATGCTGATTCAGAAGACATCTTTTGACTTAACGTGGTGTTCTAGTCTGGATCCTGTAGCGGTCAGTGTTGTTGCATTGTAACTCTTCCTTTGTTCCTCCTTTCCTTATGTCTTGCGTTCCTGCTCCAGATGACTTTGCTCCCTTAATTACAGTCCCGCTGGTTGTCTCTTTTTTTGTCACTGTTCTCCTCTATAATGCTCTATGCATCCCACTGGCAATTTATCACTTTACTGAATGTTTAAATGATGCACATGTATAATGAAAATCCAGGCAGAGTATTTTTTTACAACGCCTTTCTGATATGGCTGGTGGCCATTAATACAGAATTATTAATGCATTGTTAAGGCATTCTAAGTAGAATCGGTATTGTTGATTTTGATGTGTTGTCAGATATATACTACTTTAAACTGAGGAACATTACAGAAATGCTTTTGTTAATTTGTGGCCTTCAAGCAAGGACTGCAGCTCCTATTTTTCATTTTCTCAAATTTTTGGGTTACTCTGGCAAGCTTGCTACTGTGTGAAACATATTAAACCCCAGAGAACTAAGGAGGTGTTTAACAGTAGCGTGGCAGGCTGAAAGGTGCCAGACGGCATGGTACTCCTTCAGACTTAGGAAAGCCAGGGAGAGGGAATGCCTGCACTTCTCCAAAATACTCTGAAATTGGCTTTAAATGATCGGTACCTTTTTTCTCTTCTGGTGCTTTGTTCTCTGCAGGGATTCCAGGGCTTTGGGTTTGGCGATGGTGGCTTCCAAATGTCATTCGGAATTGGGGCGTTTCCCTTTGGTATATTCGCAACAGCATTCAACATAAACGACGGGCGACCTCCTCCAGGTATTGTGCATCCTGTCTTCTCCCCGAGTCCTGTCACAAACAGGTGTTTACAGACTCCCTTGTAACTTCTAAACAAACAGCCTGCTAAAAGACAAAACTTTCTGAATGGTAAAGAAATTGGTGTTGTGAATAGAAACACAAAATGAGGCAGAGCACCCAGCAGAAAACGTAGTCTGTGGCTTACATGTTTTGTACAGGTGCTAATGTAAGAAACAAGTTTGTCACTTCCAAGTGATTTGCTGAAGGCCCTCTGAGAGGTCAGTGGTACTGGAGACTTCTCCCCTTTAATTCAAGTGTCTCCTCTGGTACCCCAGAAGAATTCCTCTGAAAAATGAGACGAGTTGGACTAGAATTTCTAATAATCGTAAAAAGGAGGCAGTAGAGGTATATGAATGAGATCCATATTTTGAGAACAGCAGGAAAGGACCATTTCCTGAAAGATGAGAAGGAAAAATTTCAGCTGGTGCTCTGTACCACAAAATAATGAGAGCAAAAATTGTTCCTTTTTCCAGAAATTTATCTCTGAGACAGTCATCTGTATTCTACAAGAAGTAACTTTCTGGTGAAATAATGAAAACACAGTTGGGTTACTCCTAGTGGCCTTGCTCTCTAAAAATGAAGTAATCCCCAGAAAACCACCTCCCCATCTGCACTGTAGACAAACTGAGTCTACCTGTTTTGTTCTGGACTTCCTCTGTGAAAGGTTTTACCTGGCAAATCTTCTTCACTGTGTCATACGACACAGGAATTCTGAGAAACAGAAACGCATTCTTTGTGTCACACCTGTGTTGCCAAGGACCTGGGTCAAATTAACTTGCCTATTATCTATACTTCGGTGTCCACTGGAAGCTTGTGTGGAGGTGAGACTGAGCTAAGGAGTATGTAAATACCTGCTGCTCTAACAGCCGTAATTTAACCAACTCCTTCATCTGCTTTTCATCTGTGGATTCAGTACAGCAGATCCAGAAAGGCACTGCTTTAGAGCTCGTGTGCTTGTCATTAGTTCCCTTGGTCAAGGCTACACACGCAGCTTTGCCCATTTTACCACTTCCTCATTCAGAGACGTTTCACCCTGATGGGGAGGAGCACTCAGGCAGAGGTGGTGAAGTTCCTTAGGATGGAGACAGTGACCTTAGCTCAGCAGTGGGCTTGGCTCAGCACTGTGCCAGAAGTACTCTGAGCACACCTGCGTGTACTCCAGCACTTGGACCTGCCTGTTGCTATTAGTCATGAGTGGGTTTACCACAAGTCCTGCTTCGGGGAGCTGCTGCTTGTCTTCCATCTTCCAGTATGGCTGGTCAGTCTGAGGATAGGAAATAGCAACAGTTTCTCACCAAGTAGATTGCCTGCATGTCTTTCAATTTATGAATGCACTGTGTTGGAAATATACACGATTCTGGAAAAGAGGAAGGAGCTGAACTGTTTTTTTTTTTACTTCCTGTTTTTCAGCTGTTCCAGGGACTCCTCAATATGTGGATGAGCAGTTCCTATCCCGCCTCTTCCTGTTTGTGGCTCTGGTGATAATGTTCTGGCTGTTGATTGCATAAATTTTTTCCATTATTCTGTATATTCATGGCCAACAAGGCCACTGAAACAGTTACAAACTGCTTCCCCATCCCATTTAAAACCTCTTGGTGTCTGGTTCCGTAGCTAACGATGGGCTTCAGGAATTGGTGGTACCACAGCACAATGAGGAATCTCACATTCTGCACCAGAGTTGGAAATTAAACATTGGTTAAAAAGCGTATTTCATCTCAGCTGTCTTGTACAACAGGGTCCTGCCACAAACCACGGGCCTAGCTCTGCTCCTAAAAGGAGTGCTGCTTTGAAATCCTGTGCCATTCGGTGACACCAGGTGTATGTGAGAGTTGCCCCAAGGTAGACTGGGCAGGTAAGGAAACTTCGGCAGTGTGATCAGTATCTCACGCTTGGCAACCACGAGGGATCTGCCAGAGCTGTGGATGGTAGCTAATGACTTCGCATCAACATCCAGCCCTCTTCAGGAAGTCATCTGCAGCACTGCTGAGACTGTGGGCACAGCATATGATGCAAATGGAACCAGGTGTGGAGACTGGTTTCTTTTCTTGCTGTTACTTCCTGGCGTGATGGAATACCCCTCCTGAAGCGGTTCTAATGGCTGTTAGAAGAAGGGATACAAATTTATGCTGCAATTTTTTTAAAGCCTGGATTTGCTGGAGCCAGACACTGGAAGATTCTCTCTTTCTGGAGCCGGGTGGGGTTGCTGAACAGTACAACACACCTGTCTGCCTCACCCAGCCCAGTTCCTCACTGACAAAACAGTGTTGTCTTCCTTGGTTCTGCGCAGCAGCCTGTGGCTGCACTCATGGATAAATAATCCCCTCACAACCTTGTCACTGTAGCTACATTAATTCTTCCCAAGGCTTTGAGACTTTCTACGCAAGGTCGTGTACTCCAAATAAAAGCCTATTACAGATCTGAGATCAGCTTGTTTGGGGAGAGGAACAAAAGGCAACTTTACATGAGTTTTGAGGTTAAACTTGTCATACTGTAAAATTATACAGGAGGAAAAATGAGATCCTGCCTTTGCTAGCACATTCCACAGTAGGGAACATTTGGAAGAGCTGCTCTCTACTGTGTGTACAGCTGCTCCACGCCACAGCAGAACGGCTGTAGTGCAGGGGTCTCTGCAGTATCTACCAAAGATATGAATTTGAAATGCTGGAGGAGAATATTTCAGAAGGTAAGCACTCTGCAGCTATTTTGGAATCCTGTTGGGTACACAGCTTTAAAGAGTACTCCTGATGTATTTGTGTAGATTCCTTCAGAACAGCAGATACGAGAGATTCCCTAGCAGGATGAACAGTTTCCATATTTCTCTGACTAGGCAATTCAAAATTTTTTTGTCTTTATTGTTTTTAGATTATTTTGATTCAGATCGCTGATAGTCATAATGATTTTCTGCAAGACAAATATTGTGACTTCCTTGGCAAGAGACAGACAACTGACAAATCAACTCATAGAAACTTTTGTTTCAATAGCTAGGGTTTTTCTAGTGTATGGATGAGGTTCCTGGGCAGAACACCTTAATTAATTGTCGTAGGAGCTTATTTATGTAATTATAAACTGTTTTAAGTATCAAGACAGAGGATGACTGAAGTTTAACTTGCCTACCTCCAAAATTCCATCTGGCAAGTAGAATGTTGCAAGGCTTCTGCAGTGTTTTGCCACATCTAGTCAAATTTACACCTGACTCGATGATAATCTGCCAGAATATATTGCTCAACTATTTGTAGTTGAAGTGGTGCTTCAACTTTTGTTGCGTGGCACGTTTGAGAAGCTTAACTTCTGCATATGGCTGTTGTCAAGTGTGTAACTTGGTAACTGGGACCCTTTCTAGGAGAAAGGCTGTTTACCTGCGCTCTAATAAAGCAACTGGCTGTGGTATAGTGTCGCAGCTTTGACTTCCTTTCGTGAGCAGGCAGCACCACCTGCTGATGAAAAGGCGAAGTTCATGTGATAGTAAAAGATGGTTTTCCTTCTTAATGTGGTGAGAACCTCGATGCTGAAAGGAGTGGAGTATCCCTTTAAAGCCTTTTTCCGATAAAGAGGACAGAAAAGTGACTGTAATAGGTTCAAGAGGTATTGAAACTGATTTAACTAACATGTTTTAAAGTACAGCATTTTAATGTCGTGGGGTTTTTTCTATCTGTTGGTGAGACGCATAATGGATTTAGACGGAGGTGGCTGCAGAAACATGACTGAGAGTCGTTATTTTCTGGCAATCCAAGAATGAAATAGTCTTAAAAGTGTTAACGCTTTTGTTCCTACCTTTTTCTTGGTGTGCTTTTTGTATCGTACCACTCCCCCCTGCCCCCCGTACTCAGACTGCACACAGCCCATAACGGCTCGTTTAGTGCATTACCATTACTGTTCACTAATTTTCACTGTTGTGAAAGTGATTTAGAATTAAAAAGAAAAATGGTTTTACATTGACCGGAGTTTGCCGCCGTTCCTTTGCGCTTCGCGGGCGGGCGGAGGCGAGGCGCTTGCCCGAGCGCTTACCTTGAGGATGAGATGCGGAGGAGCCCGTTGCTGGTCTCTGTCTCAGGAAGCGGGAAGGCCGGGGGTTCATTGCTCCCTCACCGGGGCACCGGCGGGCGTTCCGTACCGAGGAGGCTGCGAGCAGCGGCCGCAGGGCTGGGCCCAGGGACGAGAG